CTCTCTCTCTCTCTCTCTCTCTCTCTCTCTCTCTCTCTCTCTCTCTCATCAAGCTGACAATTAGCTTAGATTTTGTTTCTTGTCATTCAAATGCAAAACTTCTTAGACTTCTTAGACAGCAGGAAAAGCCACATGTCTCCTAGTAAGGGTGCACTAAGTTTCTCTAGAACCTAAAATGACTAAACAAGATTGTTTAACAGTCTTGCCCCAAGGCTAGTTGCAGTGATCCAAGAACAAAAGCTAAGATTTCTCTCTAAGAAAAGCAACTAATTTCATAGCTTTGGCCCTGAACTAGGCTCACTGTTTCTTAAAGGAGGGCACCCCAACACTCTGAGCTGGTATCAAGGTTCTTCCTGCATCCTCCTGGAAAGAATGAACATATTTTTAAAAGACTGTTTGGTCACTCTGAATTTCTCAATAAACCTAAGCATCTTGTGAAGCCCCTGTAGAATGATGCAGACAGTAAAGGGTAGAGTGTTGTTAGACTCCTTTGTTCCTAATGTGGCCACATTGGATGAATCTCCTCTTTCTGCTTTCCAGTTTGAGCTTACTGAGGATGAGTGGTCCAGTCCTCCTTGTCAGGGATCCAGGGCGCAGGCTCTGACCCTATGACTTCCTGTACTTTTCTTGGGAACTTCCAGGTTCATAGCGCATGTGAAGGTATGCCAGGTTAAGAGCTTTGATTGTACACATTTAGAAATAGTGTATTTGGCTCTTGCTTTCTCCTTCTTTCCATCCTCCCCTAAGACTTCCCCACCCTCTCTTCTCTCTGTACCCTTCATCTGAATAATTGTTATTTTATCATATTGACTCATAATAATATATGTTCATAACCATTCTGGAATCGAGAAGAGATCTTTGAAAAGTATCCAAAATATTTGGGGACAGTCAGGCTGTGGAAGCTGAGAGCTCTTTAATGTGCTTCAACTCTTTTTTTTTCATTTTTTAATTGGTTTTTATTGAGCTCTACATTTTTCTCTGCTCCCCTCCCTGCCTCTCCTTTCTCCCCTTCAACCCTCCCCTAAGGTCACCATGCTCACAATTTACACAGAAGATCTTGTCTTTTTCTACTTTCTACTGCCCATGTAGATTAGATCTATGTAAGTCTGTCTTAGTGTCCTCACTGTTGTCTAAGTTCTCTGAGATTGTGGTTTGTAGGCTTTAAAAAACACCTATGAGTGAGTATATGTGATAATTGTCTTTCTGTGTCTGGGTTACCTCACTCAAAATAATGTTTTCTAGCTCCATCCATTTTCCTGCAAAATTCAAGATGTCGTTATTTTTTTCTGCTGTGTAGTACTCCATTGTGTAAATGGACCACATTTTCCTTATTCATTCTTCAATCGAGGGGCATTTTGGTTGTTTTCAGGTTCTGGCTATGACAAACAAACCTACTATGAACATAGTTGAGCACATGTCCTTGTGGCACGATTGAGCATCCTTTGGATATAGACCCAAAAGTGGTATTACTGAGTCTTGAGGAAGGTTGTTTCCTGATTTTCTGAGAAATCACCACACTGACATCAAAAGGGGTTGTAACAGCTTGCATTCCTACCAGCAATGTAGAAGTGTTTCCTTTACCCCACAACCTCTCCAGCATAAGTTGTCATCGGTGTTTTTGATCTTGGCCATTCTTACAGGTATCTGATGGAATCTCAGAGTTGTTTTGATTTGCATTTCTCTGATGACTAAGGATTTTGAGCATTTCCTTAAGTGTCTTTCAGCCATTTTAGATTCCTCTGTTGAGAGTTCTCTGTTTAGGTCTATACTCCAACTCTTTTAGTTAAGAAATGACATCTTATTCTTAACTCTGTAGCTGAAATGACAGTGTTTATTTACCACTATTATTCTAATAAGATCCTGCATAAGAAGTTTTTATAATATAACCTCTTTTTTTAAGACAGGTTTATACTTTGTAGCCGTGGACATCCTAGAGCTTGCTACAACAGATGGTCTCAGAGTCACAGAGAACGCCTGCCTCTGCCTCCTGAGTGCTGGAATTAAAGGTGTGGCACCACCATGCTTGGTTTTAAATAATAAATTTTAAGGCCTGTCATTTACTAGTCAATAAAATCAATGAATATGCCCTCATCTATGCTAATTGGAGTTTTTTTCTATCCTTAGGTAAAGCTCTTATCCTTAGGTATGAGGAATGTGTCTGTCTCAGTGGAGTCTAACCTGTTAGTTAGCAAGGACTGTTCTGCATATGCGGACATGTAGCAACACTGGCCTAGGGGGAAGTGCACAGAGGGAGGCTGGACCGGGGGTTAGTCTAAGGCCTATAAATGGAACCAACTGATTCGTTCTTCATGGAGTCTTATTAGTAACCCCACTTTTCAGGTCAGGACATTAAATGATTTGGAACAGTCACTAAGGTTGGAAGTAGCACCTTTGTCTCTTTAATCAGTTCTACAGCTGACCAGCTTCCTCAAATAAGGCGTTCATTCTCCATATGCAGGCTCTCAAAATGAAATAATCATAATAATAAGGAAAAAATGAGAACTAAATCCTTATTTTTGACTATCAAGACTTTCCAATCACCATGCTAGCCCTTTGGCAAGTGGATTTCATAATATGGAGAATTAATTCTTCTATGGAATTAGAAAAGCCGAAGTACCAGACAGTGGTAACGCACACGCCTTTAATCCCAGCACTCGGGAGGCAGAGGCTAAGGACCTCTGAGTTCGAGGCCAGCCTGGCCTACAGAGGAAGTTCCAGGACAGCCAGGGCTACACAGAGAAACCTCGTCTTGAAAAGCCAAAATAGAAAAAGAAAAAAAAAAAGAGCCAAAACCCCTGTAACCTGTAGTTATGAACAATCCAATCTTGAAAGGGAATCCCAATCTGAGTAAAGAACTGAAATAAAAATTAGCCATAACCCCATCATTCAAAAACCACTGTTTAACACATCGGCATATTTCCCTGTTTTCTTCTCTACTAAAAAAAAAAAAAAAACAAAAACAAAAAAAAAACCATAATAAATAGAGTCTATTTGAAAACTGTATTTATTTGGGCCACTTGTTTAAGAAATTTGTTCCTTCATTCCAGGCTGGGAGGCAGGGAAGGGACCCTATTGTCTTCCCATTCTCCTCTGATGTACTTCTAGCCTTCAAAGGCAGTCAAATCATTAACAGAAAAACCAAAGGAAGCATTATCCAGCCTCCTGTGTCTTTTAACTGGAAGACATATTCTCTAACCAAAACTGTAGACTAGCGAAGCCCTGCTACACTCACTAGCTCGAGTCCTCTGACCAGTGACTTAACTCTGCTCAGCTACGAGTTCTTCCCAGAGTGTTCGCTGTGAAAGGGTGGCTCTCGGACTTCCCTAAAGCCCTTCTCTGCATCTCAGTTAACAGTCTAGCCTTGGATATTTGTTTAATGATCAATAGGAGTTTCTGGCCCTGCCACCGAGTTTTTCAGTAGAATAACCAAGTCAATGTTTAACCGCATTCTTTAGTTCTGGAATGGCAAAGTAGAAGTTGGAGGGAAGTCTCCATGGAAACTAGCCTCCCAGGAAGTGGCCAGAGAAGTTAGTGTCGGGGGACAGAACTGGAAGGATGTCATGAAGGAAACACCTGTTTTGGTAAGCTAAGGCAATCTCCTGAAAATACTGAACTAAATCAAGCTCCATATGCATCCCCAGGCCCACCCCTCATGATTTTCTTCTGAATATCTTCAAGGAAAATGGGCCTGGGCCACTCCAAGCATCAGCCTCGAGTGATCAAAGTCACACCTTTACAAAGCCAAGAGGCGGAGACTCCCTCAGCTGGCCCTGTGTTCTACGCATTAAATCGGAACCTGGAAGAAAAGAACTCAAACCCATTCTCAAGACTGCAGGACCAAAATCCAGCTCTGGACATACAGCTACTACCTCTCCGAGAAACCTGGTATGGAAGACTTCCTGCAGGTACACATAAACCAAACGTGAGATTTGCATGTCTGGGACTCAGGAGAACCATGGGTACTCTTACCTAACTGTAGCCGTGACCTCAGAAAGTCTAAATTATTGAGATGCAGGGGAATGCTTTCCAGTGACGGCTGAATGTTTGTCAGCTGACTTTCTTCCAGTACATGCTAAAGCTTGTGTCAATTCTGGATAAGGGGCTTTTCACCCCTTCATATAAGAAGGGAGGAAGTGTAGCCGCACTCAGTCTGTAGTGATGCCAAAGCTTGTGCCTACCTCCATCGGATCGCTGAAACGGCACAGGTGTGATAGGTGGTGGCAATAATGCTCTAGCTGGGGTCTAAATTTGTCGCTGTCTCCAGAGAGATTTAATGCCTCAGGCTTTGTGGTTTCGAGAGCAGCACTTCAGTAGTAAACCTCTCCAATGTGGATTTGAAGCCAACCCAAACAGAATCAATTTACTACGTGAAGAAAGCAGATGAGTCACCGTTCCCTAACCCCATGCCCTTCACGAGCGTCACAGAATTAAAGGAATTTTCCCCACTAGGGTGGGGAAGTTCTGAGCCTGAGATGGCTCAAGTTGTTCATGTATTCTTTTCTGAAGACCATAGTGATAATTAAACAGATTACTAACTTGGGATGAGAAATTCATGCTTATGTGTGTCATCGGGCACACATTCCGTATACTTGAATCATCTTTTCTCTTCTTCACACCCCACATCAGTAATAAAACTGGGTTCTCCTTCCTGAACAACTCTGTCTGAACACCTTGTATGTCTCTAGCTGCCAGATCTACCCAGGGTGGTTTCCGTGGTTCCTTTCTGTACAAGGAAAATACTGTGTGCAGTCGATTAACACAGCGCCTCTAATGCTCTTCGTTGTGGATGAGAATGTCCTCCTGCGGCACTGATCCATTTCTCTGGTTGATTTGGTTTTATGCTTCTCAGTGTCTGCCTTTGCTAGGATTAAAGGCATGCGGTTTTACCCTCTCCTGAGTTCTAAGGTTTTGGCAACGACATGACAAAAGCTGATTTGGGCACATTGGAGTCCCAGCTGGAAAACTGTACTTGAAAGACAAAAGTCACATTCGTTATAAACAACAACGAATGGAGAACATTCTCTACAAATACTGACTGCACCAAAGGCATTCTGGGGGCTGGTTTTAAGGGCCCACATTCTAACCCCAGTCCTACTGACTAGTTACTTGGCAGTTTTGCTTACCTGTGGTCAGGAGCTGAAGCACATATCTGGTACAGATTTGACCACATGGGACAATCCAACTCATCATAGAAAGGTGATGAGTCCTGAAGTTTCTGGGGGGAAATGCTTTCAATAATTTAGAGTTTAAAACCCAATGTGATGGTGGTAATGTTTCTATTCTGCTCAAAGTATGCCAGAGTCTGAAAGAAAGAGAAAGAAAGTCAGAGTTTCCATTCTTCAAAGCTGGAGACAGCAAAGCTATACAGGGGCCACACGAATGGCTTACGGACAGGGATCCATAGATACTTGTTTGTTTTTTTATTTAACGTGTAGAGCATGCGTCCAGGCTACTCTCAACGACAGCCTCCGTGTCAGAATGTGTTCTGATTGTTCAAAGAGAAGATCAGCGACTCCATGCAGCTTGGTCACGGCAACGCTCACGAGTGGCCCAGTGAATCGGGCCAAACACAGCATGTGAAATGTGTCACCATCGGAATCTCAGCAGAGACGTTCTGTATGGGGAAGGACAGTAGCATGTTGTATCCTAGCGTCAACTTGGGGGCTGTCCCCTGTTAACTTCCTACTTACTCTGAGGAGACATTTCCATTTCTTAAAGAATTTTTTTTTTCTGATTCCCTTTATTTAGGAGGAGGTTTCATGGTATTTAACTAGTGAGCTGGAGACAGAATTCAAAGGTAGAGCATTAATCTTGTATATGTGAGACCCTGGGTTTGATCTCCAGTAGACGGGGTGTGAGGGACTCATAAGACTAATCAGTAAGTTTCTGTTTTCCAGGCTAAATTCTGTGTTTGAGTAACACCTGTGGTCAGAAGTGACTTTCCTAACTGCCTTTTTTTTTCCAATCAACTTGGGAGGAGGGTCAGAAAAGAAGAAAACAGACTAAAATGTTCACTTGCATTCGTGTGAGGACCCTTCCATTGTGGAATATTGTGCACTGTGTGAAAATGTATTGTTGTGATTGGTGAAATAAAAAGCTGAGCAGCCAATAGCTAGGCAGGAGATATGGGTGGAACTTCTGGGCAGAGAGAGAACTCCGTGAAGAAGGCAGAATCACCAGTCAGACATGGAGAGGAGACAGGAGGTGTAAGATGGGATAGGGGTTATGCCACACGGCAGAACGTAGCTTTAAACTATGGGCTAATTTAAGTTATAAGAGCCAGTTGAGACAAGCCTAAACTAAAGGTCAGGCTTTCGTAATTAATAGTAAGTCTCTGGATCATTATTTGCAGACTGGCAGTCCAAAGATAGTCCAGCCAGAAAGCTTGCCACATGTGTCTTATCGGCACGTTCAACCAGTGAGTAAGGCATGTATAATTGAAGATGCAAAATTGTGTAAATGAGGACTACTAAACAGTGATCTGCCTAGAGGCCTAGTTTAACAATAAACTGATTTTAACGCTTTATTATTGTTCCCCATCTCTCAAGTATCCAGGTCCATGTATCTTGACAGCCCACTGAAACATGAAGAATCAAGCATTATCAAAAGGCATCCACCCCGGAGAATTCAAGTAAGATGAATTTAAAAGTCCTTCTTAAGGAATATCTTCGCTTTAATGCTAAAATCTCCTTTCATCTATAATCATCAAAGAACCTTAAACACCTTGTTAATGAAAATGCTGTTACAGAGAATGTTGACAATTGCAAAGGCCATAGTATTAGAATTTCCTTTGGCAGTGATGTCACTTTCGAGGCTTATACCCCAAAGAAAGTATGCTAACAAGCTAGAGAGTTAAAGCGCTTAGTTGAATGAGTATTCAAAAATCACAGCAACTACTACTTCTATTCAAGGCAAACACCACATCAGTCTACTCGATCTTTATCATTCATGTATTCCTTTAGCCCAATATAAAATAGAAAATGTCATCTTTATTTTCTACATAGTTCAGAGTTGAAGTAACTTGCCAATAGACACTGGAGCTGTTAGCCAGGCCTCTGATTCTTCTAACCATCAGTGTAAGTTATCTCTATCTCCTGTTAATCCCATCCTTTAATCATCCGAGATGCTACAAGCAGCTGTTGACGTTGGGAAGACTGGGGCCAGGTATGGTGGCGCACACCTTTAATCCTGGCACTCAGGAGGCAGATGCAAGCAGATCTCTGTGAATTCAAGGCCAGCCAGGGATGCATCATGAGATCATGTCTAAAAGAGAAGAAACGGAGGGCTGGGAGGGGGAAGATTAGGAACATCAGAGCAGGAATTTTTTACGCATAGTATAAATTCAATAAGGCATCTCATTCTAGAAAGGGAAAGAGATTAGAGTGGGTTCTTGGGAATGAGCATCAGATAACAGAAGGCATGGGACTATCTGTGAGCAGAGAAAAAGGAGCCACACAAACCTTACCTGCTCCGTAGCTCACCTAGATGCCCAGACCAGTTCAAGGGCTAATGGAAATCTCTGTTGAAGACTGTAGCCATTTCAGTCTGGTTTTACTTACTTCTCTTCTTTGGAAGCTCAAAATTAATACTTGAAGTGATTATTGCCTTTAGTTCCAAAAGGGCATTGCTTCCAAAAAATATTAGAAAATGCAAAAATATTATTTATCTCAAGAAAGGTAAAGGATACATATAATAAAGCAATGTCTAATATAAAATTGTGAGCACATCTCTAGCTTAGTTGAGAAACCCTAAAGCTGGGTTTATTCTTAAACTAAATGTGCTCTTTCAAAAGAGTATTTAATATATGCTCCTGTGAAACCCTGACACTGGCCAGCTCAAAAAAAGAAATCACTACAACCAGAGAAATATATTGGTGCTGTACTCTTTAGTTCACAGAATAATTTTAAGATTTATCAATCCTAAATAAGTTAAGGCTAGGTTTTGATTTTCCCAAATTCAAAAAGAGGAGCTGGATATTTCTGAGTCTGGCACTCTACCCCACACACCAGCAAAGCTCCTTAAGAATTAAGAATCAAGTCGCAGAATCTGATTGCAAAGACTAGGTAGGCTTTACCCAATATTACATCTTCAGTCACGGATGACATGTGCCACTCTGAAGTCTAGGAATGAATGAGTGAAAAGGGGCTCCTTGCTGCTGTAGGGAAAGCTCGCCAGTGTACGGGTAGCAGTGTGCTTAATTATAGAGATGTTTTGTTGATCCCGAGAGCTGAGATACACTAGACTCAGCAAAGTTCTGGAAAGCAGAACTCTATGCAGCTTGCCTGAGCTCTCCTCTGTGCTTTAATTCCCCCCAAAGATCTCTGCTCCTCAGGGCCAACCTAAACTTGAATCTTATATATCCAATCAAACGGACAAGATGGTCTGACCACGGCTGAGACTCCGGTTCCTGTGGAGGAAAGATCTTATTGGCTCAGCTTTTCTGAGTCTAGCTCGGATCCAATGAGCTGGGAGCAGAAGCCTTGCTTGTGCTGTAGGAATGCGGGCAGAGGAGCCGCCCTGTAGGCTCTGAAGTCAGCTACCGGAGAAAAGGGAAATCACTAGGAACTTGGCAGACACTCCCAAAGATCTTATCTATAATTATCTGCACAAATGAGGCTCGGCACATTTTCTACCACAAATGGGTTTTTGAGAGAATAATAAATGCTGGGTTCCCATGACATGCTAATTAATAGCCTGATCTCTGCCAAAGAAAATTCTAAAAGTATTTTTAATTATTAAACCAAGCCTAATTGCATCCTAAATAATTTGGGTTGCGTACTTGGCGCTCCCCAGTTCCTGAACATCTCCCCTGCTCAAGCAGAGAACACCTCTTCCTGGAGGTGAGAACTGAGCCGCAGCCTGGAGCTCTCAATCTACAGGACTTTCCAGCCCCCACTGTGTAGAAGAGTTGACCAGCAGCGCCCCCTCTGGCCTGCCCACCTTCCCCTTCTACCCTGCAGTTAAATAGGAATGTCTTCCAACCAACTCCGCCCCCAACACACACACACACACACACACACACACACACCAGTATTGACCCAAGTAATTCAGCTGAATAATTCTGAGTGCCAGAGAACTGTTAATATTTCAGCATCTCTATAAGGCTCGCCCTGAACAACCTACTAACCTCTGAGAACCCATCCCAGAGGCCCTGATGCCCTCAGCCCCTCTCAATGTGCACACTATTTTCCACTGAAGATATTGGGAATCCCTAATTTTAACTCGGGAAATCCAAAATATTCCAAAATCCAGTTTTATCTAAACAACACTGGCGCTACTACAGGAGAAAAATCCTACACCTGATCTCGTGTGCTGGATTGTTGCCCAAACAGCAGAAACACTATGTAAAATCACCTTCAGTGCACGGAACCAACACATGAAACAAGCTGCATTGAACTTGGGTCCCATTCCCAAGACATCTCATTACACACGTGCAAATATTAGAAAACCCAAAATAAAACCCCACGTTTGAAACACTACTGGTCCCAAGAATTTCAAGTAAGGGACACTTAGCATAGATGATATTTGCAGTAGGATTTTGATAAGTGCTGCCAATGTCCCCAAAGGAAACAAGTGGCACACTGAAATCATAGCAATCCAGGGACATTTTCTTTGTGCAGAAGTTTGCACAGAAGTTTGGTTAGGAGAAACAGCCAAAGATAAAGCAGTCAGCGTTAGAGGTGGCTGATGGGTAACCAACTCCAGGCCAAGGCAAGGGGAGAGATTTCTTGAGCCTGGAAGAAAAAGGCCAGACAGAGAAAACTGTGTTGCACATAAGAGTGACCCTCCACTGAGGGACACAGTCACCCCATACCACCTTGTGAAGAGTCAGAACTCCAAATACCTGACTTCATCATCATCCCCTTCCTATAATACCCAGTAGGAAGCCAGAGGCCAGGGGTTGCTGCATGGGTACAGGCGGAGAACAAGTGGCCAGTGGGTGAGCAGATTTGGAGACCAAAAGAACATACCTGGTACCATGGCATTCAATTTCAGGCATTTTCTTCATGCTAAGACTTTCTTTTTAAAAAAAATGATATTATTGAGCTCTAATTGTTCTCTGCTCCCCTCCCTGCTTCTCCTCTCCCCTCTTCAGCCCTCCCCCAAGGTCCCCATGCTCACAATTTACACAGAAGATCTTGTCTTTTTCTACTTTCCACTTCCCATGTAGATTAAATGTATATAAGTCTCTCTTAGTGTCCTCATTGTTGTCTAAGATCTCTGAGATTGTGGTTTGTAGGCTGGTTTTCTTTGAATTATGTTTAAAAACCACCTATGAGTGAGTACACATGATAATTGTCTTTCTATGTCTGGGTTACCTCACTCAAAATAATCTTTTCTAGCTCCATCCATTTTCCTGCAAAATTCAAGATGCCGTTATTTTTTTCTGCTGTGTAGTACTCCATTGTGTAAATGTACCACATTTTCCTTATCCATTCTTCAATCGAGGGGCATTTAGGTTGTTTCCAGGTTCTGGCTATGACAAACAATGCTGCTATGAACATAGCTGAGCACATGTCCTTGTGGCATGATTGAGCATCCTTTGGATATAGACCCAAAAGTGGTATTACTGGGTCTTGAGGAAGGTTGTTTCCGAATTTTCTGAGAAATCACCACACTGACATCCAAAGGGGCTATACCAGTTTGCATTCCCACCAGCAATGCAGAAATGTTCCCTTCTCCCCACAACCTATCCAGCATAAGTTGTCATCGGTGTTTTTGATCTTGCATTCTTACAGGTGTAAGATGGAATCTCAGAGTTGTTTTGATTTGCATTTCTCTGATGACTAAGGATGTTGAAATTTCTTGAAATGTCTTTCAGCCATTTTAGATTCCTCTGTTGAGAGATCTCTGTTTAGGTCTGTACCGCATTTTTTTATTGCATTATGTGTTCTTTTAGTGTCTAATTTCTTGAGTTCTTTGTATATTTTGGAGATCAGACCTCTGTCTGATGTGGTGTTAGTGAAGATCTTTTCCCTTCTGTAGGCTCTCATTTTGTCTTATTGACCATATCCTTTGCTTTACAGGAGCTTTTCAGTTTCAGGAGGCCCCATTTATTGTTTCTCTCAGTGTCTGTGCTGCTGGGGTTCTATTTAGGAAGTGGTTCCCTGTGCCAATGCATTCAAGTGTACTTCCCACTTTCTCTTCTATAAGGTTCAGTGTGGCTGGCTTTATGTTGTGGTCTTTGATCCATTTGGACTTGGTTTTTGTGCATGATGATAGATATGAGTTTATTTTTATTTTTCTACACGCTGATATCCAGTTATGCCAGCACCACTTGTTAAATATGCTTTCTTTTTTCCATTTGATATTTTTTTTACTTCTTTATCAAAGATCAGGTGTTCGAAGATGTGTGGATTGATAGCTGGGTCTTCTATTCAGTTCCATTGGTCCTCCTGTCTGTTCTTATGCCAGTACCAGGCTGTTTTCAGTACTGTAGCTCTGTAGTAGAGTTTGAAGTCAGGGATTGTGATGCCTCCAGAAGTTCTTTTATTGTACAGGATTGTTTTGGCTATCCTGGGTTTTTTGCTTTTCCATATGAAGTTGAGTACTGTTCTTTCAAGGTCTGTGAAGAATTTTGCTGGGATTTTGCTGGGCATTGCATTGAATCTGTATGCTAAGACTTTCTTACTGCTGAATGTTACATTTTATTGATTTTACTAAATCAATAAAACAATTTATTGATCATCTATTAAAACAATCATATACATCCACACAGAGGATGTGTCGACCCACACACACACAAAAAAAGTGGGTTTTCTTTTCGCTAGTTGATACAGTGTAGATTTTATAATGCTGAACCATGCTTGCATTTCTGTCATTAACCTGACCTGATGATAGGCATCTAAGTGCACGCCCTGCAGAGCTGGATTTCCTAAGGTTTTGTGTCTCTGCTTTAATAAGTGAGACAGAGCTATGCTTTTCTAATACACTTTTACACCAGCTTTGCCACCGAGACTGAATTAGTCTTATAAAATTAAGAGACTTCCCATCCCTCTTTCCCAAAGCATTTGTTATAATACAGGAATTCTCTACTCTCCAACCGGTTAGTAAACATGTCTCTAGTACGTTTTTTAGACTCTTGGACTTGTAAGAGAAGTGATCATTTTTCCTACCTGCTTGACTTCTTTACAGTTCTGAGTTGGCTTGGGTATTTTATTCTTGCCAATTATTTCTTGGAAGTTATCCAGTTAACACAAAGCTTTTGAATTTTTTGCCATGAAGTCTTATCTTCTTCGTATACTATCTTTTGCTAAGTCTTATGAAATGAATCTTCCAGCTTACAGTGTGAAGCCTGTGTGCGTGTGTGCGCGTGTGTGTACATGTGTGCATGAGCGTGTGTGTGTGTGTGTGTGTGTGTGCATGTGTGTGTGTATTGACTAGAGATTGAGGTTGGGCTTCTCCTTTAATCACCCTCCACTTTGTTTATTGACAAGAAGTCTCTCACTGAACCTGGAGTTCACCAATCCAGAGTTCAGTTTGTCCTGAGAATCCGTTTTCATCTCCCAAGTGCAAGGTCTAACACTCTAGTGGTGAGCATTTTATTCTCTGAGCCATGCCCCCAGCCCCAGACACCTTATTTCATGTTTACAGTGCTATGAATTGAACTCATGACCTCATACATGCTAAAAGAGCGTACCGTACTACTCAGTTCCTCCCAGCCCTCCAGCTCTCTCATAATAAGTAACACGGTGGATAACTCAGCCTGATTTCAAGTTGTGAACCTGGATCTTCTATGGAATGTTTCCTGATCCCCTTTATCCAATATAAATAGCTCATAGACTTCACCTGCCCGTTACCTCCCCACAAATATTTGCCTTTCTGTTCTGTTTTCTGATCTATGAAAATATTTGACTTGGGCTGAAGCCAAGTTGTGTCACGTTGGCTTTACTGTTTTGTCTTCCACGGACAACTGTTGGGAACAAGGAATGCCACTGAAATGTAACTATGTTGCAAGAACTTGATCAGAAATTCTTTCTGGGCCTTCATGAAATAAAGCTGTCATAGAACACTTTCTCTACTTCCCAGAGTCTGAAGTCACTGTGTCAGACAAATGCTACATTTTCTGTGAGCTGCTCTGACCCTCCTTCCTTTTCTGATAAACAAAAACTAACCTCTTTCAGGTTAGTGTTTATCACCAAGTGTAGCTATCTGTGCTGTATGGATGCTTTGTTTTCCATTACCAAAGCCCAAGCATATACTCCAACTGACGATATTTATCACAGGTTGTACAGTGAATTAATTCAGAAATCTTCAAACAAATAAGATCGTTCCTAGTATTGAAAATGAAAAGTTCCACCCTACCCCTTCTCTGAGCACTACCTTCCTGCATGTTTCCTCTGCAAGGGACGAAGCCAGGAATCTTCCTTCTCCTGCAGGGCAAGCGATGCACACTTGAACCCAGGATTCTGAAGCAATGTCATTCAGCTGGCATTTTTAAGTGAAGCCAATTTTCCCAACCATTTTTTTCAGTACAGTTTCTCAGGCTGAAAAATTCTATGCGGATGGAAATCTGTTTGCGGTGTCGCTTGCTGCCATCTAGTGGCTTTGCAAGGAGAATGTGCGGTTCTGTTCTTTTTTTCAGAAAGTTGCCTGGAAAGTTCTTAAAGATATCCACCATTTAACCTTTATCAGAAATGTGAATCTAAATAGAAGACTGAGAACAAAGGAGAGGAGCCTGTTGTGACTCAGACATTCATACTGTCAAATCAAAAATGACTTAAGGATCTTGGCTTCTTCAGACTTGCTGTTCCGACTGCACACAAAAGTCTTCTGTGGTCCACTCTCCACGCGTCTCTTTTGTTTATTTGTGACAATGTGGGACCACTCTCGACCCCATCAGAGAGTGTCTCTGGAGGAGTTTTGAAAGCTATCATTCCCAGAACGCACCCCGAACCTGGACACTCCGCAGCTCCAGCGAAGGGCTGCTCGATTCCATTTCACAGTGTGAGGGCGTTCTGAGGATCAAGCATTTGCAAGGCAAACAATTTGCAGGTGAAGAGCCTGGCTAAAAACGTGGTACACATCTGAGATGAATCCTAGTGACGCCACTCCCCAGCTGGGTAAACTTGGACAGGCCATTAGTCTTTCTAAAGTGAGGACCCTTGTAATTCATACACAGAGCTCACCTGAGAATAATGTGCGATGATCAGTTTATTCATGGCCTTAGTATGGAATAATGGCTATGCAGCCATGCAGACTCACACATACACAGATCCCGGAGACTCACCCATGCAGAGGAGACACAGACCCTTCTTTTTTTCCCTTCCCAACGGGTGTCTAGAGGGCTCCCTCCTTTTGGACTCTCCCTCCAGGATCCTGACACAATCAACCGTTACTCCTAAACTAGCACCTTCCTGCCCCGGAAGACTGTGAGCGAGGGGAACAAACAGACTCCTCTTCCTGTCTCAGTCACCTTTCATTGCTTCTTTGCTGGACCGAGTTACAGGGCCAGACCTGTGGGAATCATCTCCTAGTCACCATTGGTTACTGCTGAGGACTCTGAGGATGCTTTTCTGCTGAGACTGGAATAGAGAGCCAGCTCTTGCCTCAAACAGACTGCCTGGATGGGAAGAACTCAGCTGTCTGAGTGAACAGTCTGCAGGCACACACACACACACACACACACACACACACACACACACACTGCAGGTCAGTGTGAGGGGACCAGTTTTGTCTCCCATGCTCAGCTTGTAGAGTACATTGTCACATCTTCTGAGGTGACTGGTTCCATGGCTCAGTGGTAAAGTATTTATTGTGTAGGGATGAGGGCCAGACATTGAAAACCCAACACCCACAAAAAAGCTACAACTCCAGGTCTGGAAGCATCCGGTTATGACAGTGCACGACGGTAACCGTTGGGATGGGAGGAGCTTCGTATAAAGACAGATGGTGCCCAGGGGCTTCCAGTCACCTAGTGGAAACCATTCGCTACACCGGACATCAACCCTTGTTGTCTACATGTCTACATGTACACACATACATGTGCAACAGAGAGAAAGAGATAGCACTTTGCACTTCCTGTTAAGTGTGTCTTGTCACCCATGATTACAGAGGGAGCTTCTCTAGAGACTTTCAAAATATGTCACTTCCTAAGCCCTGGAACAGCTCGGTTGGTGGTCAAGGGAAGGTCAGGTGTGTCTCCCGTGTCTCCTTCATCTCTGCTAGCCTAAAACCCCAGCTGTTTGGTAGTTCTGAACATGGTCCATCAGTACAGCAGAAAATCCCTTGATTCTCTGACCACGATTTTGACTAATAACTCACTGGAAACGGTGTGATAGAACAATAAAGAACCCCGGGGTCAAAAAGCCTTTCTCCCAGATAACTCTGATACTGTGGGCATCACCTTCTCTGCGCATGCCCAGGAGGAAGTTCTGCTTTCACAGAGCGCTCAGGGAGTTTAACATCTCTCCTTTGTGTTTCATCGTCTCATGGCGTGTGGGATGCTGAATACTCTAAACACTGAACCTCTAGAAGCTTGACCCCATTGACCTGCCACAAGTAATTACCTCTGAGCGACTCCTGCGCCAGCGAGAAGCCAGAACAGGACACAAAGCAGAGGTGAGCTGTGGCAGTCGCTGACTGGGGGAAGTGGGTGTGACTGGGGCAGCCGCTCTTTTCATGCCTCCCCGTTCACACGGGAGTTCAAAGCCGAAGCAGACAGTGCAGTCCTTGTCTGGCAGGATGTTTGAAGCTGTAGCGCTTGCCCATGCCTGCCTCCAATTCTTCTCTCTTGGATGAGGCCAGGCTCTGTTTGCTTTGCAGATGAAAGGGGGATTTTACATGGAAACGGGTGACTCTAGAACTCTTAAATCCGCGGTGAGGGAAAGTCAGCAAGGCTCTTCCCTTCACCCCTCCTGAGTGGAAAACTATGCCCTCTCCGGGGAAGATCTTATCTAGAAAGCCCTTGGCTTCTGGGCCACAGCCCCGAGAGGTCTTCTCTCAGCTCTGTCCTGCTGAGAGAAAATGAATGCTCTTAGTAGAAGGGTCACTTTCCTGCCCTGTCCTGACTCACGCTGGAGCCAGCCAGACCTTGCTGTGTGGCTGGGTAAGAGGCACCTGATTGCAGAGGTCCTCAAAGTCACGCTTAAGGTGCTGACTGCGGGGACAGCCTCCCCCTAGGCTTTGCACCATTCGACACATTGTCCATAGAGCAGCAGAATCTTCAGCTCTCTCCTTCATCTCTGGACAACAGCAAGTGACAAATGAAACTATGTGCGCCTCTGCTTGCCCTCAAAAGTCACCTTTACTGTGCCACTGAATTTCATGACAAACTAAGGGGAGATCACCAGGCTTACCAGCAGTCACTTCAAATCCTCCTCACCTGCCATGCTCTCTCGGGTTTATATTCAAATATGAAAGTATGCTGTAGGAAAATAGGTTCCACTGAGCCACCCAGAGTGTCTCCTCTCATTGCACAGCCAACCCATCAGTGGTAGAGGGCACAGGAAGAGAAAGGAAGGCCAGGACACTTTTCTAAAGAGCTAGTGAAAGCATGTGTTGGCCAGGAAAATGGTATGTTGTCAAAGTGAGATTATCAAAATGAAATCGTCAAAACCTTCACATTCAAGGCTTGCAAAACCCTGCAAGAACCTTTAAACCAGTCTTAGATGCACAGTACAATGCCACTTAGTTCTGTGACAGCTGGACAAGGGACTTGTCAGGGACACGGCGGCAGGACACCTTTATCATGACAGGGATCGGCTACGGATTACGAAGGATTAAGATCTACTGCTCCAGGACGGGTAGAAGGCGGTGGAATTACAATCCCCCATACTAATAGACACGTCATCTTTCACTGCAGGAACCTGAGAAGAAAATGCAGCTCCCAATGTACACCTCTGGGAAGAGACAGTATTTACATAAGATGCAAATGCTGGAGCGGAACCAAAGAAGGCAGGAGGTAAAGAGAAGAAGGTCACCTTTACCAGATTTGAGGGCATTGTCACTGTCCCGCTGAGCCAGTCCGTTCTCAACAGCCCAGCAGAAGCCGCCATTGCCTGAGCTGGGAAAAACAGGAAGATGACCTTTTGTTCCCTGTCTTGATGAGTCCTTATTTTTCTTTTTTCTTTTTTTTTTTAAACTTCCTGCAAGGCTAGATCTGTGCTTCAAGCATCCCTTTCCTTTTTTCCTTTTTTTTTTTTTTTAATTTACTTCTTTATTTCATGAGGGCAGAGAGCACACACATGTGCCGCGGAACGTGTCTGGAGGACAGAGACTAATTTTTGTAGTAGGCTTTTTCCCTTCATCATATGGGTTCTGGTCATCACACTCAGAATATCAGGCTTGGCAGCAAGCTCCCTTAGTCACTGAGTCATCTCACTGATCCCTCGAGTGTCCCTTTCTCTGTTCTCTTTGCTTTGTTTTTGAGAAGGGGTCTCACTATATAACTCTGGCTGGTCTAGAACTCACTGTGTGGGCCAAGATGGCCTCCTGTCTCCTGAGGGTTGAGGTTAAAGATGTGCAAAAGCCTAGGTTGTTCCTCTTTTAAAAAGCTGCCCCTTGGCCCTCTTGCTCTAGCTGGAAAACAGGGTAAATCATATTCTTTTCTTGGCTTAGTAAAAGAGGGAATGGAAGTCAGTCTTTATTCTGAGACAGAGGCCTCTCCCTAGAATCCATGCCATAGAATTTCCTAGCGAGGAGCACCTTCTGCCAGGATGCTTGTACCCCATGCTTGGGAGGCTAGAGAGGAGGACTGCCACAAGACCTAGGCCAGTCTGGGTTACGCAGAAAGTTTCAGGACAGCTGAACTATGGGGTAAAACCCTGTTTCCAAAAGAAGAAACAAGCAAGGCTTTTGTCTTGTTCTATTTGTGCTTCTTTAAGAGAATACCAGAGACACAGTAATTAATAAAGATGATGTCTTAGTCAGGGTTTCTATTGCTGTGAAGAGGCAGCATGACCACGGCAGTTCTTATCAAGGAAAACATTTCACTGGTGTGGCTGCTTACATTTAAGAGGTCCAGCCCATTATCATCATGGTGGGGCATGGCTGCATGCAGGCAGACGTGGTGCTGGAGAAGGAGCCAAGAGTCCTACATCTTGACTTACAGGCAACAACAACAAAAAAAAATGGTCTCAGACACTGGGTGGTACCTTGAGCATGTATGAGACCTCAAAGCCCAACTCCATAGTGACACACTTCCTCTAACAAGACCACACCCACTCCAAGAAGGACACGCCTCCTAATAGCACCACTCCCATTAGGGGTCATTTTCTTTCAGACCACCACAGATGGTGACTCTATTGAGATGAGGAAGTTTAAGGCTGAGATACTGGCAGTTGATGCTACGCCACAGCACAGCAGAGGTCATGGTGGGTAACACTGTCAGTGAGAGTGAGGGGTCAGGAGCAACCAGGGCAGCCTTTGTTACCTTCCAGGGAGAGCTGGCCTCCTCCTGTGGTAATAGTTTTACTCTCCACCCAAACAGCTCTTAAAGTCCCACCTGCAAATTAGCAAAAGAATTGGGAAGGGGTATGTTTCCAACCTGTGAATTTGGGAGGACACACTGGAACACTTTCTGCAGGAAAGCTCTGCAAGTGACTTACCCTTAAGCTCCCCCACACACACACCTCTCTAAGGAACTGGTCTGTAGTTATGTCTGCAATTCCGAAGCACCACCCACAGACAAGGGCTGATAGGCAGGCTCCTTTCATAGATGCATGCCTCTGTGAGCCAGCGAGCATGCTCGCCTTTCTCCAAACAAGCCTGAGAATAGAACTGTCACAGAAGGCGATGGGAACAGAACCATTCTGATGTGTTCAAGGATGACCAGGTCTGTGAAATGCCCATACTTGGATGTTGCCGTATCTGTTCTGGAGAAGACAGTTTGGGAGAATATTAACCACTTCTAGTTTATCATTTCAGGCCCAAATGGAGTTGATGATGAAGAGTCTTCAGCGTGCAGCAAGACTTGATATGCAAAAGCTGGAAGACCAGAGTGGCAATAAAGTCACCCAAAGCTTGCCGAGGAACAATAGCTATGACGTTATCACCATAGTGCCTGATGAAACCATAAACAGAGACCCAGGTGAGGACTGTCATTCCTTCGGTAGAACATTTCACATTCTGGTTTAGTTTGGTTTGGTTTGGTTTGGTTTGGTTGTTGTTTTAAGACAGGCTTTCATGTAGCTCAGGGTAGCCTCAGACTCCCTAAGTAGTCAAAGATGACCTTGAACTTCTGATCCTCCTGCATCCGCCTCCCAAGCACTGCATTGCACCACTATGCCTGGTTTGTGCATGCCATGTTAGATAGCAAGCCCAGGGCTTTGTACTTGGCAAGCAAACACTCCTCCAACATAAGCTACATGTTTTGCTTTGAGAAAGAGTCAAATTTGAACTCATGATCCTCCTGCCTCAACTTTTTGAGCACTGAGATGCAAACATACATGAAATGTCATCAAATAAATGTCCATTATGGGCAGGGGAAGGAGAGTGAGGAGAAAACCAATAGCTGCCACCAAGAGGAGATTCAGAGTCTCAGAAGGAATGGCATGCTGCATTTCTCTCTTAGAGAAAAAGACAAAAGAGGAAAAAAAGAAAAAAGCACAAAGGTCGTTCTTCTTGTAGATTCTAAGTGCTTTATAGGCACTCCTGAAATCATAAGAGAGGCTCATAGCATCATCTTATGTCAGAGAGGGAGAGGCTCTTACAGATACATGAAGCTGCCTGTGTTTACAGACCACATGTCTATCACCTCCTTATCCCTGGAAGCCCCCTTTGTCCTATAGCTCAGTCTTCTTGGGTACCCAAGAATACCTACAGTGACTCTAGCACCACTACCCTCTGCTCCTGGCTCCTGCTTCATCCAGCATCTCTATGTGTGTGTGTGTGGGGGGGGGGGGGGGGGCTCATGTCACTTGGGCCAGAGCTGCATAATCAGCCCTGCACTCTGAAGTTCTAGAAGCATTGTGCTGATCCAAAGTAACCTCATAGAAAACAAATCTGGCCGTGTTACTCTCCTGCTGAGAAAACAATCACCAGGATGGGAGAGCTGGCTCAGGGGTCCAGAGTTTGCCTCTCAGTACCCATGTAGCGTGGCTCAAAACTGTCAGTAACTCCAGTTCCAGGATACCTGGTGCCCTCTTCTAGCCCACTCCAAAGCCTGCACACACATGCCACACAAGAACACAAACACCTACTCATGAGCAAAAATAAAATAAATCTTAAAAAAAAAAAAAAACAGTCAGATTTCTACCAACCTGGGGACAAAAGCTCAGCTCTTTTACAGGGGCCCTGACCCTTCAGGATCCAGCCACTGCCTATGCTCTGATTTCCTCTCCTGCTGCCCCCAGTGTGAGTTCCCCAGGAGAAAGCTGCGTGCATCCCATATTGTTCCCAAACAGAGGCTGCTGTGCTGCGGGCAGAACCCCGCATCCGTAGTGCTGACCATGGTGGAGCTTGTGGCAAGTGAGCTCTAGGCTGCAAAATCACCTGCTGAGGGGGATGCTGTCCCCACTCCAAGAGCAGGGATCTCAATCGATAAATTAATTAAACAAAAGGCAGAATAATGAAAATCAGCCTGAGGCATCCATTTAGCCCGTGCCCTGGTCTCAGCAGAAACAGGCTTTGTCGTCAAATAAATTTTTGCCACTGAAAAAAGTATTGACAAGACAACTCAGAAAAAGGAGCTGAGCTAAAGTTAACTCTGAGCCATCACCCGAGAACAACTGTGCTGGCTGTGGAAAATGTGCTGGGCTTGGGGGGACCCAGGAGGGACAGAAGACATGGGGTTTCCATTGCTTCCCTGAGGCTTTCTAAAGGTTTCACTCTGTTCCAACTGCAATTCTCTCTCTCTCTCTCTCTCTCTCTCTCTCTCTCTCTCTCTCTCTCTCTCTCCCTCCCTCCCTCCCTCCCTCCCTCCCTCCCTCCCTCCCTCCTAAACCTGTAATCCCAGTTCTTGATCACCATGAGTACCTCGATTGGCATAGTGAGTTCCAAGCCAACCTGGACTCCACAGTGAGACCCAATCTCAAAGTCAGACAAACCAGTAGGTACTGTGATCTCTCATTTAATCCACACAACTAGAAGGTAGACGTTAACCCTCACCGGTACATAAGATAGCCAGAATTCAAGGTCACATCTTCTTGACCTGCCTGCCACGACCTCCCTCAGATGTCAAGGATTCATAGCTTTGTCTAGGACAACCTTGGAAAGTATGCAGGCCTAAAACTGTGAGCCCTCACCCATCCTTGAAGAAACAGAAGCTGAAGAAGTTCACAGATGCTGGCCTTCATATTCTCCTATCCCAGATCTTTGTAGGATGGGAGCAAAAACAGGAATCCTAGCTGGAGACAGCTACTGACCAGGGAGGGAGAGTTGTCTCAACAAATAGAGACTGGGCCAGCTGCAGAATCCAGGAGGGTGGGGCAGGGAACATCTTTCCCAGCTCCTATCTTCATCCTACTGAATGTCAGCATCTCCAGACAGAGGTGGTGGATGAACCCTACGTTTAATTCCCCAATTGACTCTGAAGACCAGCAGACCTTAGCTGGCCTGGATCTCAGAGTACAATCAACACTTCAATTGTTTGGGAATCTTTTCTCTTTGCGGTGACTGGATGTGTATGTGAATAATCCTGCCAAAATGCATCTAGAAAATGCAACTTGCTAGTATGAGATAAAAATTCTAATTGTTTTCCATTTAAATGAGATCAAAAATGAGGGAGGGATGCCCCTCCCCTCACCCCTGGCCACCTGTGGCAGGCAGAACTGGCCCCAGGGTCATGAGAGTGGAAGAGCTAGTCCTACCCCTCACTGGGTGCAGCATGACAAAGTGGGCCCTGACCTTGCCTGTGCAGCACAGTAGAACTGATCCTTTCAGTGGGGGAGCTGCATTCCCACCCCAGTGCCGGAGGGTGGGAGAGCGAGTGAGCTGGCCTGCCCTTCAACAGCTTCAGCACCCAGGAGAGTGGGCCCTGCACCTCACCTGGGCAGCACAATAGAACTGTGCTGATGAGCCAGCCCTGAGGGCACGAGGGAGGGAAAGCTGGCCCTACCCCCTCACCATCTGTGGCATTGGGTGAGCTAGCTGGCATAGTGCTGGAGAGCTCACCCTGGTGGTGAGGATGCAGGAGAGCTAGTGGGATGTACAACTAACTCAGCTACTGCCCAGGTCCAGACCCAAGGCTATGAGTTGTCCCACTCCAACTTCCACCTATCTGTGAACTGCTGGAGCATGGGAAGGGGCCACATATCCACAACAACAGGATATCCAAGAGAAGTCCCAGTGAGGATCCAGTACCGATCTTCACTGTAGCGGAAGCCAGAGGCCTCAAACCAGACCAATGACTCATTGCAATGAACATTTGCAAGTAATGATGTATGTATGGACTAAAGGGTGTACTGTGTGACTCACTGAGACACACTACAGCTTCCATGACAAGATTTTTTAAATTATATTTGGGGAGGGGAGTTGTAAGGGTGGATACGAAGAGACAGGGAGATGAGTGGGATTGGGGTGCATGATGTGAAATCCAGAAAGAATCAAAAAACGTTAAAAAAATAATAATAAAATAGAAAGTTGAAGGACTTTTTTTAAATGAGATCAGAATAACTAGGATCTCATGGAGGGAGATGTCTGCAGGCAACATCCTCGCCTGCTGCTGAGGTTGCTAGGAATGGCAATCTTCTGCTTACTTTCCTGCTTGCTGGGACAATATTGCTGACTAGAGCTCTGCAGAAGGAAGAGTTTGTTTTGGTTCACAGTTCCAGGATCGTTTGTTGTGGCAGGAAAGGTGAGGGGCTGGTCACATTGTGTCTGTTACAAGGAAGCGGGTAGACATGGATGCCTCCTTCTCTGTCCTTTCTACCCAGTCTGAAAGACCAGGCTTTGGGGTGGTGCCACCCACATTTAGGTTATGTCTTACCTCCTCAGATAGACCTCTAGAAGCACAGTCACAGGTGTGCAACCACTGGTGTGTCTCCTAGGTGATTCCAAAGCCAGTCAAGGTGACAATGAAAACTGTCCCGGGCTGTGACAGAAGTATCACCACACACTTCTGTGAGGATGGAGAGAGTGGGGGCCACATCATGTCTGCCGTTCTCCCGTTGCTTGCGTTCTTGCTGCACAGCCCCATAGGCAGAAACTTACAGGGATAATAACGGACAGGTCTAGGATTCAAACGTGATTTTAATCACAGTACTGAGTTCTTCCTCTGTGACTCACAAGAGATCGTGATTATTCACCTCAGTTTCACATATGAGGAGATGAAATGCAGAAAGGAAGGTCTGTGCATCAGGTCCCAGCCAGATGTTCTCAGGATGCCTCACTCCAAGCTTTCACCCTTGATTGCTCCTGCCACACGTTCTAACAAAGGCTCCTTCTCGCTCATCCCAGAGAACCTCTTTGCCTGCTTTCCCTGTCTTCCCTGACTTTCCCTGTTGAGTGGGATGCAGCCAAGGTCAGAAACAGACCTAAGCATCCTGGTGGTCAGGAGCTGGCAACTCAGGCACCTGTGCCAGCTTCAGCAATTTAATGGAATGGCCACCATTTCTCGTTTTCCTCCGGAGGACTGGATGAGAATGTTAGCCTCTTGTGAGACAGAAGACAAGCTCTATTTTCTGCTACCTCTTTAAAACAAAACCCCCTTTAAATGTTTGGTTTATATAGTCACATGATAAATCACAATATAGCCGTATGAAATATGTAGTTAAGTACAACATACATGCCATAGCATCACTCTCTGGTGTACAACTCTGCAAGTCTTGCTGTGCTCGTGTGGTCCATGCCCTCTCCGGAGGCATGACTGGAACACAGCTGCAGGAGAGGTGCAGAAGATAGGCTCAGAGTCCTTCAGTGAACCCCAGCAGAGTGTTCTTCCTGAGAGCAGACACATCTTCCTGCTCCTAGAGCAGGGTCTGACAAGCGTAGTCTCTCAACCATAGATCCTTCCGCATCATTTTATTTTTAAAGAAAAAATATAAATAATGTGTTGTTTCACTTCTGTGACCCTGTCTTTCTGGATCTGTAAAATGGGAATAAATAGTATCAGTCAGTGTAGGGCTCAGGTCAGGTTAATCTCATATGTATAAAGGTGCATATGAGGGCTGAGGAGATTGCTCCAGTGGGAAAGTGTTTGTCCCAGGAGCTTGAGGACCTGAGTTTGGATCTTTAGTACCCATATAAAAAGCCAAGACAGGGCAGTATGCATCTGTAAATCCCAGTTTTAGAGAGGCAAAGATGGCGGGGAGGGGGGAGGGAGGGTATGACCCTTGAGGTTTGCTAGCCAACCAAGCTAGCCAACTCAGTGAGCTCTGGGTTCAGTAAGATGGAAAGCAATAGAAGTTACACTTGTCCTAAGCCTCTGGCTTCCACATGCACCTGTGCACACACATTCTTCTTCCCCACGTCCAGTGCACACACATCAACTGGGAGGCTCAGACAAATATATAGGAATGTGGATAAAACCGAAGGAAAAAATGGAACTGACATCTGTATCAGTAATTTGTCTCACCAAAGCAACAAAATACTTGACAGAAGTAACGTAAGGGAGGAGGGCTTATCCTAGCTCACAGTGTCAGTTAGTGAAGTCCAGCAGGGAAAATACCATGCGTGTCAGGAGCAGCAGGCAGCCAGCCACACTTCATCTGGTCCGGAAGCAGAGGGCAATAAATGCTTATACTCAGCTCACTTTCTCTCTTCTATCTGGTCCAAGACCCCAGCCTATGGGGTGGTACCACATTCAGGTGGGTCTTCCCACCGAGTCTAGACAACCCCTCCTGCACATGCTCAGAGGCTTGTTTCTTCAGGGCTTTTAGAACCAGCCAAGATAACAGCCAACCAACATTGACTACCACAATGTTTAATACGTAACAGCCTTTTCTTTCAGGAAGAGCCACCCTAAAACTATTATTTCAGTGTTACCTTCAGTTCTAACCTTATCTACCCACCTTCACTGTTTAACTACTAAACTACTAGGTGTTTGGGAAATACATAGCTCTGTCTTTGAACTACTGTGGGGTTACAGTTTTATACAGTGGTGATAACTTGTTCTAAAACACGTATTATAAATATACAGCCGCCAAACCTTCTTCATGCTGATTGCTCTACCATTCAGCTCACTCCTCATTCTTTTCACACACATCAACACATATTGCCTTCCCCCTGAAGACAAAATTAAAGCTTCATCCCGGAGCCTTAAACACTGGCCTCTACTCTGCTCATCCAAAATCCATGTAGGTTTCTAAAGATCATGATTTTGGGCTGTCAAGCACACTGGGACAGGAGGGGCTCATGGTTTAATGATGGTGTCTTTTCTCCATTGGCTGGGATCCATCCTCACAGTCTTTTGAAACTGGCTAGTTTTGAAAGAATTGTAGAGAGGAAGTGAAGAAAAGTAGGAAGGGATGGAGCACTAGGTCACTTAGACCAAGAGTACAAAAGGACCTCGGTGTAAATAACAGTTTCACCGGGTTTTGTTGGAGAGGGAGAGTAGGAAGATTAAAACATTTGCATCATAGGGACGGGGAGATGAAAAGATTTTAATTCCTTGTGGCAAACAACAGTTTACAGTGTTTGCAGAAAAGGCTAACATTTCATTGTTCTTCCAGTAGCAACCTTAAGTGGGTTATTCTACGATAAGAACATTTTAAATACTCAGTCTTAAGGACACAGTAAAAGAACATTTGCTCTTCTTCAGGAAGTTCACAGGATGAAGAATTCTTGGACTATCACACAGAGACTGACTATTGTGTCCGGAAAATTGGCAAAATGGAAGCCTGGCTCCGCGAGCAAGACGCCCGAGGACAGCTTTCCTGGAGCCGCTTCAGCTACGACTCAGACGAGCCTGAGAAGGATCACAGGAGGCCACGAGCACTGGTGAGGACCAGGACAGAGAGGATCCCACTCTATGATGAGTTTTATGACCGAGAATGAGAAAGCTACACGCTGCCCAGACAGAGAGGAGTGGTTTGCTTGTTTTCATCAGAATCATTCCTACTTACATATGAACCACTCAGGGGGAAGTAATTTACATCTGTCTTCTGAAGTCTTGTAGTTCATGGGTTTGTCGTGTATGCTCTAGGTCTATGACTTAAAACTGAGGGGCTGAAACAAAGGTCACTTGTTTGTCTTACTTTTCTGTGGGTAGCTGGGCTCGGTGAGGCTCTTGTGTTGGTCTCTTCACACAGCTTATGGGATCTGACAGCAGATGGCAGCTCAGACTAGAGCCACATAGAGGCTGAGTTAGAACACTTTCATACAGTCCACGCATGGTCTGTGCAGCAAGGTAGTAAATCTTTCCTTTCAACCAGTCCAATGCTTCTAACAACAAATATTCTAGCTGGAGGAAGGTGGAGAACACAGAATTGACGAATGTCTAGTCATTGAACCCACCCTGAACCACATCCACCATAACCTATCAGTTTATGCAAGTCATAGATCAAATGCTAACAAATGAAGAGTCCACACAAGGGGACAGGTACCAAAGGGGGTCCATCCTGGGGACTTTAAACAACACTTCACTTGTCAAACCTTGAAACTGGTTTTGCCTTTAGAAACATAGTGGTAGCCAGGCGGTAGTGGTACACACCTTTAATTCCAGCACTCAGGAGGCAGAGACAAGTGGATCTCTGAGTTTGAGGCCAGCCTGGTCTACACAGTGAGATCCAGGACAGCCAGGGTTTCACAGAGAAACTCAGACTGAGGTGGAGGGAGTAGGGATGAAGAAACATGGTGACAACATGCCTGTAATCCCAGCACTGGAGAGGCTGAGTCAGGAGGATCATGAAATCAAGACCAGCCTGGGGTACATAACAGAAGCCTGTCTCAATCAATTAATCATCAATAAAGGCAAATCAAATCCTATAAAAAAATAATGAGGGCATATTATATATTTTAAAAAGTGAGTTTTTACAGAAACGTCACCGTGATGCTGCAAGCGACACTAGGAACACTGAAGCTACTTTTTTATAAGTTGCCCACACAGCAAGGACTCAGGAAAGAGGTGAGCAGTACCAGGTGGGAAAGGTAATTGTAGAATTAAAGCTTAAAATTAAGACTGCTGCACATAATCCACAAGTGGTTTGAATCATTTCAAGTTTCCAAGAATTTGGTAAACTTTAAAACAAATCAAAACAAAAACACGTTTTAAAGCCTTCAGTAGGAAATTTCCCAAAAGAGAAAAACCAGAGGAAAGCACCACCTAAGCACGGCATTAGTTCTCTCCAAGCCAGCCTGAGAGTGAGCCTGCCGGGAAGCTCGCGCCCTCCGAGAGGGAGAGCTAGGGTCAGTCCTTCTTGCATTTTCTTTTTGTATTTTTTCTGCTTCCTTTCTGTACTTCTGACAAGAAGCTAATTCGTACCAAAAGGTAATTATCAACACTAGGTTGTTTGGCCACCAGCTTTCTCCAAATGGTAAGACCCATCAGAGGATATGCAGATTTCAAAAGACCTCTGATGTTGTCACGTTTTTACAGTGTACCTGGAAACCTTCAGATAGGAAGGGGAACTCCCAGTGTTCAAGATAGTGGCATCAGGGACTAGAGAGGGGGGTCAGCAGCCAAGATCTCCTGTTGCTCCTGCAAAGGCCCCGGCCTGTGTTCCTGACACCCACAGGGCAATTCACAACCATCTGTAACTCCAGTTCCAGGGGATTTGACGCCCTCTTCTGACCTCTGCAGACACTGCATGCATGTGGTACATGGACATACTTTCAGACAAAACATCCATATACATACAATAAAAATAAATAATTTTTTTTTTAAAAAAAGGACCCACATGTATTGTCCAGACTGCTCTGTCACAGAAAATTAGACAAGGCTTCCTTCTACAGACTCACTGGGCCATGAGTTCCCCTAGCGCATGGACCACAGCCTCTCCCTGTGTTATCAATGCCTACACTCCCCAACTGGACATCTGGCATAGAGTTTCTGAATTGCTCAGTTTACGTGTCGAGTCACTTATCAATTGGGAGACCCTCGTAGCTCCCGGCTCTGCGGGTACTCACACTAAGTCTCCTCGTTTCTCAAGACGCGCACACACAAGGTTCATTCACAGAGAAGAAACTTCTCAGCAGTTCTTGGAATGTGTGCATCAAAGTGGATGGCCTCAGGCACTGCCGTGAGGTCAAGAAGATATACCATATGCCGACGAAGACTCGGAGCACAAAGAGTTTTGCAAAACCACATCAGACTGTGTTCATGGCAAGGAGAATGGGTCCCAGGGCCTTCTGTGTGGGAGCTGATTTGCTTGCCTGTAACTCTTCCTTGGCCAGCTTATACACAGGACCTGGAAAGGATAATAATGGTTGTAAAATACATAGTTTGCGTGGATTGCGCTTGTCTGCCAGGCACTCGTCAATGGCCTTGCATGACTACTGCTCCTCACAGAAGTGTTGTGAGCCAGCATTCACCTCTCCAGCTAACGAGAACAGTGAGACACAGAGGGGTTCGGTGAAGCCAGAGTCATCCAGCAGAACTTCCCTGCAGACTTGACCATTGTTTTCAGAAAGTAACCCACTTGCTGAGAGCCAGGGAACCTCCCCTTCTTTACCGGGTTTACTTCGACGAATTCAAATGGTGACCAACATCCCATACTTCTTTCTATTGCCTGGTTTGTTTGTCTTTGGTTTTGTTTTTTGGAATTTTGTTCATGATCCTAGAGGCTAAGTAACAAGGTAAGAAAAACATACATAGATCCACCTGGAAAGGGAAAATTGGTAAGATTATCTGACAAAATTGGGATTATGGGGGTGGGGGGAGAAGGGAGGACAGAAGAGGAAGAGGAGGGGGAAGGGGAAGGAGAAGGAGAACTTGGGGGAATTGGATAGATGAAATGGAGGAAGGACAAAGAAGAGAGCAAGGAAAGAGATATCCTGATTGAGGGAGCCATTACAGAGCTAGCAAGAAACCTGGCCCTAGAGAAATTCCCAGGAATCTACAAGGATGACCCCAACTAAGACCTGGTGTGGGACAATTCTGCATTCTGACAATTATGTTTTAAATAAATGCTAATTGCCCAGTAGCCAGGCAGAAAGTAGAGGTGGGACAACCAGATAGGAAGTAGAGGTGGGTCAAGGAGAACAGGAGAATTCTGGGAAGGAGGAAGCCCATTCCTCCCCAGTCCTGTCCAGACACTGAAGAAGCAAGATGTGACCTGCTCTGCTGAAAAAGGTACTGAGCCATGTGGCTAACATAGATAAGAATAATGGGTTAATATAAGTTATGAGAGTTAATAAGAAGCCTGAACTAATGGACCAATCAGTTTATAACTAACATAGACTCCTGTGTGATTCTTTGGGGCGTAATGACTGTGGGAACCGGGCAGGACAGAAACCCCAACAAGCAGGCCTTCATGTTACAAAGACCCTAAGCAATAGAGGGTGTCCAAACTGGCCTTGACCTGTAGTCAGATTGATGAATATCTTAAATGTCACCATAGAGCCTTCATCCAGCAACTGATGGAAACAGAGGCAGAGATCCTCAGCGGAGCACTGGGCTGAGCTCCCAAAGTCCTGCTAAAGAGTGGGAAGAGTGATAATATGAGCGAAGAGGTCAAGACCATGAAGGGGACACAGTTTACTTGAGCTAAGGGGGGCTCACTGGCCAGACAGGGAAGGAACCATCATGGGACCAAACTAGACCCTCTGAAAGTTGGTGACAGTTGTATGGCTGGAGCAGACTGAGGGACCACTGACAGCAGCATCAGGATTTATCCATACTGCTTGTACTAGCTTTTTAGGAACCCATTCTCTTTGAATGGATACCTTTCTCAGCCTAGATATAGTAAGGAGGCCTTGGACCTTCCCCAAAGCAATGTGCCTTACCCTCTCTAAGTAGATGGGGGTGATGAGATGGGGGTGTCGGTGGTGGGAATGGGAGGAGGGGAGGGAATGGGAACTGGGATTAGTATGTAAAATGAAAAAAATAGTTTGTTTTCTTTTTAAAAAAATAATAAAATAAGTTATAAAAAAGAAAGTATAGGAGTTCACTGTAAAGGAAAAGTGCTCTAGAGGGTTTTTTAGAGCAGGGAAGAAGGGCCTGATAGCCAGACTGTGAGCCTATAGCGAAGGCTCAAGGCACCTGCAGAGAATGGAGACACACTCTACTGTCATCATTGGGCCTGAAAGCATCTGGGTAAGCCCTGTCCACCCCGATCCCAGCCCCATCCCAGACACATCAGCCATGATTGGGAACAGCATGACTGGGTGCTGGCCCCAGAGCAGAAGCACCTGTTGTGTGATCTAAAAGCTAACAGCCATCAAGACTCAGGGGTCCTCCTTTTGTTTTGGTGCTGGTATTCAGATACTGAATGGTAGTGGGTTATTTCTTATTGTTAGTATTTAATTCTCAAACGTGTCCAATCATAACGTTCATTTATGTATTCATCCATACATTTGTGGAGAGCAGTGTGCAGGCCGTGACACACAAGTGGAGGTTCCAGAACAACTTTCAGAGTTCAGTTCTCACCCATGTGTATCCCAAGGCCTGAGCTCAGGTTGCTAGGCTCAGAGGCAAGTGCCTGTCCTATCAGCAGCCAGTCTCACTGGGCCTCTAGGTTTTATACAGGTGAATCGAATGTTTAAAATATAGCATGACTAGGATTGAAAATAAAATAAAATAAAATCACAGCTCTAACGGCATAAATATTTAGCATCTATCTAAAGCAACAACTTCTCTGGCTGATTTTCTGAAACCATAGACAGGAGGCTCAGAGCTCTACAGTGGGAGACACGCCCATCTGTCACCAGCAGTCTGGGAGCATCAGTCCTGTAAACATCCTGAGTGTGTGCTGACCAACCTACGGCCTCCACGGACATAGCTGCTGCTGCTGCTGCAAACTGTGGCATCCAGCTGGAAGCAAAGTTGTCAGTTTCCTACACACACGCACGCACACACACTATGTTCTGAATTCATCTTGTTCTGAATTTTTCATGAGAAGGAGATACCTCTTTTGCATAGTTTTGGGAACATGATTTTTTTCAATTCTGTTTCTTCTCATCCTGTGTTCATAATGGCTCAGCTACAGGCCAGGGTTACTAATGATGACATTTTGTCTTCTGTGAAGCCGTCATGTACATGAATGGATTGTCTACTGTGAGCACAATCTTTAAAACCAG